AATGTGCCTCAAATCTCCCTTTCTACTATCTGAGAACCTTGAGACTATAGTATTTTATTATATAAAATTCTTTGGACATACATTATATTTTATGGTTTATTTATTTTTACAGAATTTTTAGTGTGGAAAAATTTAAACACATACAATCTATTATCACTCAGTGTCAACAATTATCAACTCATTAGTCAAATTTGTCTCATCTGTACTGTTATCTATGACCATTGGGTAATAGTGAACAAATCCCCAGACATCATACCATTTGACCTGTTAGTATTTCAGTATATATCTCTAAAATTAAAAAGACTCTTTAAAAAAGCATAACAAGGGGTGCTTGGGTGGCTCAGTCAGTTGAGTGTCTGACTTGATTTCAGCTCAGGTCATGATCTCGGGGTCATGGGGTTGGGCCCCCATCAGACTCTTCGCTCAGCGATGAGTCTTCTTCTTTTCTTCTCCCTCTCCCTTTGCCACTCTCCCCTCTCTTTCTCTCTCTAAAATAAATGGATAAATCTTTTAAAAAATAATAAATAAATAAAAATTAAAAAGCATAACTATATTATAATCATACCTAAAAACTTCAACCATATTTCCTTAATAGTATCAATTAACTAATCAATATCAAAATATTTTTGTTTTGTAATTTTTACATTTAGTTTATTCAAATCAAAACCAAATATAATCTACATATTGCATTTGATTGATATGTTTCTTATATCTCTTTATACATAGTTCTCCTTCTTTTTCTTGTAATTTGTTAAAGTCCTTTAAAGTTTTTCAAATTTCAGTTTTGTTGATTGCATCCCCATGCAGTTGTTTAATATATTTCTCCATTAGCTGATTTTCCTGTAACCTGATAGATAGGTCTAGAGATTTGATGATATCATTTTTATTTTTTGGCAAGAATACTTCATAGGAATGCTGTATATTTCCATCAGGAGGACAAAATGTCTGCTGTTTCTATGTGATGTTAACATTGTTCAGTGTGTTCAGTTGTTGCCAGCCTGATTCTTGCATTATAAAGTTTCCCATCTGCTATTAACATGAAGTGTTTAGTAGCCATTGATGGTCATAAACAAGGACTTATTATTTCATTAGATGTTACAAAATGGTATATTCTAATACTTTTATTTCTTCATTTATTAGGTTTTGTTTAAAAAGGTTTGTTTTGGTAAATTAAATTAAATAGAAGGGGCATCTATGATGTGCTGGTACTCTGCTAGATGGTGTAAGAGGAAGACAGAATACATATGATGGACCCTCCTGTAAATAAAAATTAAACATTATGCTCAAAATGATTAGAGAATAACTATGGTATGGTAAGTGAAATAAGAAAAGAGAAATGATCATGGATTGAAGAATGTTTCATGAAAGAAGTGGGACATATACTGGTCCAAAGAGCCTTCTATGAAATAGGGGGAAATGGAGGGTGTTACAGGTGGGAGAACAGTTTGGACCAAACCATGAGGCTAAGAACAAGAATGGCCACATACGGAAAGGCACATGAAAAAAATCTATGTAGAGATTATATGTTAGTTAAGTTAAAATGGCGGCATTGATTGTGAGTAAGAAAACTAAGTTACTTAGGCCCTATTGGAATAAATTGGCATCACCCCATGAACTCTGGCATTTTTCTCCATACATTTGGCAGATAGACTTTGGGTGAACTAGGAAACTACAGCGAAGTGGCCTAGGGAAATCCAGTACTTTAGAAATTGATTTGTCATAAGTAAAACTCATCTGATCTTAAGAAATATAAGATTGCCCAAGTCAGATGTAAAGTGTAAAGAATTAGTCGTTTTGATAGGTGCATGCAGTAATAAAAATGCAAACTACAGAGATACTTGTGGTTCCACAGAATAAACCAGGATGTTTGAAAAAAGAGGCAGGTGCACAGGGCTTGTGAAGCTGTGGCAAAGTTAAAAATGTTGAGTTTAATTTTGAAAATATTGTATTTTGTGTACACATACAAATAGTAAAGACCTTAAGCATCTGATAGGATAGAATTGCAGACAAAAAGACAAAGCTGATATTGTACATTTTAGTCATACACACAGAAGTGATAGGTTAACTCATAGGAGACAGACATAAGCATAGAGAGGCTGAGTTCATAGAAAAAGGATAGCAACAGGAGCACCTGGGTGGCTCAGTCGGTTAAGTGTTGGACTCATGATTTCAGCTCAGGTCATGATCTCAGGGTCATGAGATTGAGCCCCACGTCAAGCTCCAAGCTCAGCATGGAATCTGCTTGAGATTCTCTCCCTCTTCCCCTCCCCCCACCACTCACACTCTGTAGCTTTCTCAAAAAAAAAAAAAAGATAGCAGTAGAGTTGAGGGTGGAGGGTGGACAGAACAGGAAAAGAAGAGAGTAGTATCCATTGGTGGAGAAGCAGAGAGAACAATGTTGTGCGCCAGGAAGGAAAGAGCTTTAATCAGAAAGAGATGGTCAACAGGGTCAACATGATGTACCACCATCACTAGCAACACTTGACAGGACACTTGATTATAATACAGTATGTTACAGATGGAGGATGGTTTACAGGAAGGAATGGTTTAGGAGTAGGAGATCAGGACGGAAGGCATGTGATCTTATTCTAGGAATGGGCTTCCAAAAAGGAAAGTAAATATAATGGCCAAGACAAGCAGCCTGTGGGGAAACCTAGGTGTGTCTGAAAACCAAGAGTCTGAATTTCTTTGGTTATTTTTTTTTTAAGATTTATTTATTTTAGAGAGAGAGAGAGAGAGCACATGTGAGTAGGGGGAAGGGCATGGGGTGGGGGAGAAAAACAGACTCCCTGCTGAGCAGGGAGCCCCACTCAGGGCTGCATCTCACAACCCTGAGACCATGACCTGAGCTGAAATCAAGAGTAGGGCACTTAACCAACTGAGCCACCCAGGTGCCCCTCCTTAGTTATTTTGATAACTAGGAGAAAGTATATTTTTAGAAAACAAACTTTTAATAAGACTGATGAATCACAGACCTGTACCTCTGAAACAAATAATACATTATATGTTAAAAAAAAAAAAAAAGAAGAAGAAAGTAGGAAGGGAAAAATGAAGGGGGGGAATTCGGAGGGGGAGATGAACCATGGACTCTGAGAAACAAACTGAGGGTTCTAGAGGGGAGCGGGGGCTGGGGGAATTGGTTAGCCTGGTGATGGGTATTAAAGAGGGCACGTATTGAATGGAGCCCTGGGTGTTATACGCAAACAATGAATCATGGAACACTACATCAAAAATTAATGATGTAATGTATGGTGATTAACATACATAATAAAAAAAAGGAGAACCTTTAAAAAATAATAAATAAATAAATAAATAAATAAATAAAACACTGAAATACAGAAAAAAAAAGAAAGTGCAAAAAGAGCTTAACTATTTAGTCACTTTAATTCATTATATTTTAGGACATTTTATTTATTCTATTCTCATTTTATGTATTACCATAATGAGTCATGCTTATATCAAACATGTAAGATACAAGGTATTAAATTGGAAATGCTAGTTTACCATAATGAGTCATGCTTGTATCAAACATAAGATATGAGGTATTAAATTGGAAATGCTAGGGCGCCTGGGTGGCTCACTTGGTTAAGCGACTGCCTTTGGCTCAGGTCATGATCCTGGAGTCCCTGGATCGAGTCCCGCATCGGGCTCCCTGCTCGGCAGGGAGTCTGCTCCTCCCTCTGACCCTCCCCCCTCTCATGTGCTCTCTCTCTCATTCTCTCTCTCTCAAATAAATAAATAAAATCTTAAAAAAAAATTGGAAATGCTAGTTCCTTCCTTTTCTGAAAAGAATTCTGCACACTTCTCCACCTTCCTTCTTTCTGCTTTCTTAGTTTTCTTAGTGTATGTGGAACATGTAAATGTTTGTTTCTATTTTGTTAGTTTCATTGATTTGCTGCCTCCAAAGATAACACATATTTATTGTAAAAATGTCACTCAGCACAGAAAGGCTTAAAGAATAAATTTTTTTAATTTCATGAAATGATGTTATTCAGAGATAACCAGTATTTTTATTTTGGTAAAACTCCTTCTAAGCCTTTTTCTATGTATAGATACATAGATGATATTTTATGTTAAGGAGACCATACTATTAATGTAGTTTTGCACCTGCTTTTTTGCATCTAATAATATGTTGTGGACATTTTTAATGTCAATGAATATAGGTATAGACCATTCTTTTTCAATGGCAGTCATTGCATGAACATACCATAATTAATTTAAGCTACCTCCTGTTGCCAGACATTTAGACTCTTTCTAACTTTTCTGTTTAAGCAGCACTACAGTGAACACTCCTGTGGATACATTTTTGTGCACTTATCCAGTTGATTGTCTTCTTTGAATTACTTCCCAAAAATGCAGTTGTGGGTCAAAGGCTATGCATATTTTATATTGTGACACATATTTATTTACATATTGTCCAGTGTCCTTTAGAAGTGCTGTACCAATTATGCTTCTACCAATAATACTGATCAGTATCCAGAAAGTTCTTTTAAATGTCTTAAATTTTTTTTTTCATCTTCATTCAGGCTCATTTTCCTCACTTATAAAATAAGAAGGATGAAATCTATCAGTGGTTCTTAAACTTTTTAGGATCTTAGGATCATTTGAGAATTTTTGAAAACTGTTGACCAGAAACTGGAACAGTTTTTTCAAAAAAACACACCTGTGCAAAATCAGAGAAATTTTTACATACTATTTATGAGAATTCATAGATTCTTTGAAGTCAATTCACAGACTCTAGGATCTCAGTCCATGAATCTAAGTGAAGAATCCCTGAATGAGATGATTTTAAAGTTGCTTTCTCTTTTTAACACTAACACACACACACACACACCTTACATTACACATCATGCACATGTCACACACTCATGTGCACACAGAATTTTAATGTGTATTTGGAAAAACTTTGGCACCTGCTTGATATAGAACCTAGTCTTATTGTGGTCTGTAAAATCACTTGACTGGGTATAGTTATTGGAATGAATTTCCATTTATTTCAGGTTCTTCATTGGCGAGCCCACCAGGAAGAGGTAGCAAGACTGGAAATGGAAATTTCTGCCAGGAGAAGAGAAAAGGAGAAGGAGAAGGAGAAATTATGGAAGGAGAAGGAATTGTTACAAAGAGCAGAGAAGAAAAAGAAAGTATGAAATCTGCTATTACTGTGAATGTGTGAATGAATGCTTAGTTGTCTGGTTGAGCTTTGATAGATCTTGGTGCTTGGCATGGAATCATCATGGGCAGTTCTTAGAAAGATTCGTAAGGTTCTAGTGGAGTCCTGCTTGAATTCATTTAAGCTTCAAAGATTGGACGTGGAGGAGAATCCACTTTATTGACCTGCATGAGTGCAAGTACTTGTGATTAGAAGGAATGCTATAGGGAAAGAAAAGTTAGGGTTTATGACTTGTTAAGTCTTGTTCTAAGTAGAAACATGCAAGGACAAGAGATACCAGGGTAACATTTTGGTTGACTACAGTGTAGCAACTGACTGTCAAAAGAGGTCTTTGCTGGTAAAAGACATTGTACCGAAGTCAGAGCAACTCATGCAATACCAGAAGGCCCCTTAAAGAATTTACTTCTTGGCTTATTATTTGTTAGATTGTTTTTCATTTGCTGACACAAATTCATCGCTCTACTTTTGAGCAAACATTTGCTTCCCAGTTTTCAAAAAATTAATCACAACACTTATTAACAGCTTCAAAATGATTGCTGATATTCTGTGGAAGAAAAAAGTGAATTTGAGATGGGATTTTAAAAATATATCTGGCATCTTTATTTAGATACTTTATTTTATCAGTTTTTGTGGTATAAACAAACACATTAGTACTCATCACCTAGCATTGAAACTGTTAATGTTTTTTGTTCTTTTACAGATTTATTTTATTTTACACATAAAGTTGAAGCCCTCTATTGAGGATGTACTCAGTACCATTTTCCTTCTTACCTCCTCAAAGTCAGTCTTGATCATAAATTTTACTCCTATCTTTACAGGCCATCAATTGCTTTTAACATCTTTTTTTTTTTTTGAAGATTTTATTTATTGACTTGACAGAGCGAGAGAGCACAAGCAGGGGGAGTGACAGAGGGAGAGGGAGAAGCAGGCTCCCCGCTGAGCAGGAAGCCTGACGTGGCACTCCATCCCAGGACCCTGAGAGCACAAGCCGGGGAGAGAGGCAGAGAGTGAGGGAGAAGCAGACGCACTGCTGAGCGGGGAGTCCATCAAGGGGCTTGATCCGAGGACCCCAGGATCATGACCTGAGCCAAAGGCAGATGCTTAACCGACTGAGCCACCCAGGCACTCTGCTTTTAACATCTTTTAATATGTAGTTCGTGACTTTTAAATTTTTTCATGAATACTTTCAGACTATCATTCTGCAGCATGTACTTCAGCATTTAACCTTAAACTTCTGAGATACAGCTATATTAATAAACAGACGGAGTTTGCCCCTTTTCACTGCTCTATACTGTTTCATTGGAGGCTGGCATTCATCCCTTCTCTTAGTGGTGGACATTTACGTTTCTGAAGTTTTGTTCTTGTAACTGTTGGCGCAGCCACCTTGTACAGTCGACTGGGGCGTGTGTGCCCACCTCTCTCCACAGTAGACCAAGGAGGAGAATGACAGCGTGGTAGAATTTGTATGCTTTCAATTTTATAAGGTTGTTTTTCTTTTTTTAGTTTATAAGATGTTATAAATCTTCTTTTTGACTTTTGCCAATCTGATGAATGTGAACAGTATCTCAGCGTTTTAAATTGGATTCTCCTGATCACTTATGAGATGGAAAAATTCCCTCATGTTTATTTGGGCCATTTTCTTCCTCTGTGAATTGCTTATTAGTACTTTTGTTTGTCTATTTTTCTTTATTAATCTGTAAAAGTTTTTTTTTTATAAATTTTGGATACTATTTCTTTTTGTCAGTTATATTTTCTTTCATTGGTCATCTGCCTTTAAATTTGGTCTGTAGTGTCTACGGTTTCATGGAAATTTAAAATGATCAAGTAATGAAAGTTATTAAACTCTTTTCCTTTCTGAACTGTGCTTTCCTTTATGAACCATGACCTGATAGTGAGAGCATCTTTACAGACAGTTTTTGTTCGCTTCTGCTTAGGGCCCTATACATTTTACTGGCCCAGGACCAGTGTGTGTATTGACTGTGAGATTTGGGACCTGTTCTGTGAGCTTGCAGAGGGTGCTGACTTGGCACTCATGCACAGCACCCGCCTGGGTTCTGCTGGTGACCCCCTTCCTCCTCTGGTCCCAAGCAGAAAGTTATCTCCCTTATCACTTTTCTGGGGAGTGGTCCTGGTGTGTCTCGTTCCCATTTTGTGTATGGACAAGTCCTATAGGACTTCTTACTCTTTTTAAGTGGCATGATTCCAGCTCCCATATACACAAGTCTCACAGCTAATCTTAAAGACCCAACCACCATCTCCTCAGGCCTGCCTCAGGCCCAGTTCTGTCCAAGAGCCCTTTGGCTTTGGCTCCATTTTACTGCTCTGACTTTGAGTTCCATCTTTATCTTCAACACAGGGACATTGTGTGTGTTTGTGTGCTGTTGTGTTATAGTTTGTCCAAAATTTCTATGTGTTTAAAGTAGGAAAGGAGATTTCTATGTCAACTCAGACAAACGGATCAAAGTTCTGGCTACCTTTATATATATTCTATGAATCCAGACTCTCTTTGTTCTAACTATTTTCTATGCTGGAGACAGATATTAGTTCTTTAGTGTTTAACAGCAGTTTCACAAAACCCTCCTATAGTTACTCAGGTCAGAAGCTCCCTCTGACTTGAGACTGATTGCTTTGTTAGCTGGTGCTCTGTTTTTCCTCATCTACTGTTTCACCTGCCTGGATTTCTCTTCTCATAAGCTAGCAGCCATAGAGATAGAGAAACTATTCCATGTATAAAACCCCACCTGAGGATTTCTGAATAACAGATCGTCTTTCTCCTAATTCTTCTTCTCAGCAGTTTGTCTTTTCGAGAATGACACTGTCTTTTTGCTGGAATAACATTTTAATTTGTATCCCAAAGTTTACCCTGGTAGGTGCCCAACTCTTTTCAAATTGACCTTTAAATTATTAGATCACTTTTTCTTCTGTGCTTTAAAACTTGAGTTGAACATAATATTCACAGTTTTCATAGTTTCATCTCAAGACTCAAGGTAAGTTTTGATTCATAGGCTGTTAGGTGATAATGGTAATATTTCAGAAGCATCTCTCCACTTTTGAAATTATTGTCATGATAAAATCAAAGAATAATGTCTTTCCATAAACTATCCCTAGGAGCTATTGTAAGAAACAAAATTACTGTGCTAGGTGAACCTTAAAATTCCTGATATGTAATATTGGTCCCAGTACCACCCTTTCACTAGATGTAGCATTTTGGGTGGCTTGAATAACATAAAAACTACTCTGCATCACGGCATTTTAGGAGGTTTTTTGCTGCTTGATGCCTGGAGTTCTATGGGATCAAAGCAAGGATAGTTTCAGCCTCACTCCCAAAATAGAGATTTCAAGCAAGGCTCACATTAGAAGGAGACATATTCCTTCCTTGCTCTAGCATATACATTTCTCTCCCAATTTTACAAGTTCCTAATCTAGTATTGAAGCCCCCACATTGTACACCTGAGGGATGGGAAGCATTATCAGGAAAGTCAGAATAACTCCACCAGCCATGGCCCACCATCCATGTGACCTTCAGCCTCACCTCTGAGATGTGTCTGGGGAGAAATCTATCATTTTTTGATCTCTTAGCCTCAAGTGAGATCTTATCAGTAAATATCAATAGACCCAGGCATCAGTAGAACCTTGGCACTTATGTTGTCCCCCTTGACCTCAGGTCATGTGGCAAATACTCAGAATTACATTTATCCTACAGATAACCAGGGGCAGCAGAAACAGTCTAAAATAAAAGAGGGTAGGCTATCATAAAAGAATACAGGCTAGAGGGCTAGACCAGTACTGCTTCCCAGAAGATTCAAGAAGCTCTGTGCTTAGGAGGGAACCCAGATTATCTTCTCAATTCAGATTAAAGCTATTTTCTCAGTGTGGGAATCTGTGGGTTCTTATGAGAGCAATTTACCATGAAATTCCTTTCCCAGTGTTTCTTAATCTAATAATATACTGATCTAAAGAGCTAAGAATTGGGGGGGGGGGCAGGTAGATACTGAAGAATAATAAAAAAATAAATCCCCAGACTATAAACTCTACTTCTTCAGGATTGTTGGGACTTAAAGGGGACAATGAATCACACCTGTGATAGGCAGGCTTCTAAGATGGGCCCCAAGATTTCCTGCCCTCCTGGGATACATACCCTATATAATCACCAGGATCCTAACTACCGTGGGTTAGGTTATATTATATGGCAGAGACAACCTTGAGAAAGAGAGATTACCTGGAAGGACTTGACCTAATCCTATGAGCCCTTTAAAAGTACAGAGTTTTCTTTGGCTTGTCACAATAGGGGACATCAGAGATTTAAAGCATGAAAAGGACATGACTGAATATTTTGGCTTGGAGATTGAGGAGGTCACATGGCAAGGGATGTGGGTGGACTCCAGCAGCTGAGAGTGGCCCTGGCTTACAGCCAGAAGAGAAATGGGAACCTGTAACCTGTAGTCCTACAACTGTAAGGAACTGAATTCTGCCAAAACAAGAATGAGCTTGGAAGCATATTTTCCTCTAAAGCTTCCAGGTGAGAACTCAGTTTTGTCAGCACCTTGATTTCATTCTTGTGATGTCATGGGCAGAGAGTCCAGGGACACCATGCTGGACTTCTGATTTATAGGAGTCTGAGGTCATAAGTAAGTGTTGTTTTAAGCTGCTAAATTTGTGGTAATTTGTTACACAGCAATAAAAAGACTAGTACAGTTTTTGGTATTTAGAAGTGATTTGTTGCCGTAACAAATACCTGAAAATGTGGAAGTGGCTTTGGAATTGGGAAGTGGGAAGAAGCAAGAAGAATTTTAGGAACATGATAGAAAAAAGACTAGAATGCCTTGAACTGATTTAGTAGAGGATGTTAAAGATGTGGCTGCTGGGTCTCAAAAGGAAGTGATGAACATATTCTTCAAAACTGGAGAAAGGGTCACTGTTAAGTGGTGACAGGAAGCCTAAGGAATTAATTCTGTGCTGCAGTTGGGTGGA